CCACTACAGATTCTATATATATATATATATATGTCCCTTATTAAAGACTTACTTCGGTGATACCTAATTAAAATTCATATCATCCTAACTATATTACCCTAAAAGTAAATGGACTTATTACAATAAGCCGCTTATATATCAGACAGATTAAAAAATACGGAAGATTTTCCAATAAGCCTAGATCCATATGAAATAATGGTAATATTTGTAAAGAGCAGAATTTTTTCATCCGCTTATAACCTGATCAAAATTGTATTTTTTTCTTCCTTTTCACATTGCTGCTCAGAGGTCGAAAAAAATTGCCTAATGAATTATTTTGGGACTACTTAGTATCTTCACACTTTAGATGCAGTGTACCCAGTCTGACAAATTTAATTCAAGAAATGTTAAATCCAGAGTGATACATAGGACTGTTTTATTATTATTTATAACGTAAATACTTGAACAAAGACTGCTTTTGCTTCCTAAGATTTTTTATGATATAAAAACTAATAAAAATAAATTAAATCATAATAAATTAGTTTAGAATAAATTGATTTATAATAAATTAATTTATAGTATAGTAAATTTATGCTACATAAAAAATGCAGTACTATTTAAGTATTTTTGCTACGTCTTACTAGAGTTGCACATTATTCTTAGAGCGATATCGGGAAAAATACTCGAGGATACCATCATAGTTTTCATCTTTTGCAGAGGTAATGTTTCAGTTTAGAAGCCCGACGATGCCCGACGTACTTTAATGTATTACACTCTGAAAAGCCTCAATACCGCACACCATCTGTCCTTTCTTAATTTCAAAAGGAAAAGTCGAGATAAGTCAGTTTTATTATTATTTAAAAAGAAAGCCTTTAAACCAAGACCGATTATGCTTCACAAGATTTTTTTATGATATAAAAACTAATAAAAATAAATTAAATTATAATAAATTAATTTATAATAAATTAATTTATAATAAATTAATTTATAATAAATTAATTTATAATAAAATGATTTATAATAAAATAATTTATGCTACATAAAAAATGTAGTACTATTTAAGTATTTTATCTACGCCTTACTAGAGTTGCACATTATTCTTAGAGTGACATCAGGAAAAATACTCGAGGATACCATCATAGTTTTCATCTTTTGCAGAGGGAATGTTTCGGTTTAGAAGCCTGACGAACTTTAATGTATTACACTCTGAAAAGCCTCAATACCGCCGACCATCGGTCCCTTCTTAATTTCAAAAGGAAAATTCGAGATAAGGCAGTTTTATTATTATTTGCTTTAAAACATTTAAACAAAGACCGATTATGCTTTATAAGTTTTTTACGGCATAGAAACTGTAATAAATTAAATTTATGCCACATAAGATTTGCAGTAGTATTTTATCTACGTTGTACTATGACTGCACTGTAGAATATGCTTTGGAAAAAATACTTGAGGTAGCCATCATAATTTTGCAAAGATAATGTTTTCTCCGAATTGAAAGTTGGACGACTTCCGAGTAAAGTCGGGCACTTAATGAATAACACTCTAAAATGGATCAACGCCTAAACTTCTTTTTGCATATCTATAAAACAGTCACCCCCCTGCTCATTGACCACATCAATTGACCCACTGGGAACCGTTATTTATGCTCAGTCCACTATGGAATAAAGTACATAGTAATTTTTACATTACGCGTATTTTTTCAAAGTACATAAATAAATAAAAATCAATACAAGCTTTTCGGGTTGTTAACGGATAGTTAACGCATGTACAATATGTATTTCTATAAAGTGTAAAAATGTTACTCTGACATATCTGTCAAATTTCTGCTCTTTTTGGGTCAATTTCTTCTAGTGGTAGACAAGCATATATTTTTAAGGTATGATTCTTTGTTTTGGAATTTGATTTAAAACAATTTTCCACACTGTAAATTATTCAAAAGTTCATGGGAAACGACAATTTGTAAAGCTATTTAATAATTGGCAAAATTACCGAAAATTCTGAAAATTTAGTTTTTAATTGTCCACTACTCTTAAAATATAATGCGAAAAACGTAGTAGTTGATAACCATGCACTTAGTCAATAAAAGTGTTTTAAACATTTAAAAAAAAAACTAAGAAAAGTTCGACTATAAAAACAATTCATTTTAACTAAATGCAAATGAACTAAAATTTCTTACTTTTCAGAGAAGACCCTGAAACAAAGAAAATATATGCAAATATAACAAAACAGATTTTTTTAATATAAATGAAATTTTGAAAAAATAAAAATTAAATAACTCTCGGAAGAAAATTTTTTTTTGTTGCATTTCGACCAGTAACTGATCTTACCTAATTCAGGTAAATGGATTTGAAATCTGAAGTTAGTTTTGTTCGATAAGCTACAGATTTTTTGCGAAAGTGGTATTTTAGTTTAATTGTTTAAATGAAGAAAATTGTTTATATAATTGTTTATTAATTTATTATTTATATAATTGTTAATTGTTTATATAAAGAAAATATTTATGCACATATATTTTTATTTCATATTTTATAACCGTCGTTGAACACCTGACCCGACTTCAGGCTTACGACTTTTAATGTTTTACTCCGTACCTTGTAATTTTGAACCCAATCCAGAAGAAAGGGGAACTCCTGGATCAATTATTGGGAAAAATTTCCCTTCGTCGAGAACTTTTTGATGGAATTAACCCGAATTAGCGTTACATGGAGAGGAAAACGTGAAAACATCCAACGGTTAGCCTGACAGCAAGGTGACTCAAACCAACGCCTCCTAGAGCTGAAAGCCTCCGCACGGCTTTTTTATGGGTAGTCCGATCAGACCACTGTGAAGGATATCCACTTTCCGAACGAGTCATTTAATACAAAATCTCGTTAAAATAAGAAAGTGGTAGCAAATGTATGTATGAATTTTTTTTTATTAATGAATATTAATGGTTTGCCTTATTCACTTGTCAACCACTACAGATTCAATTCTCAAATATATAACATAAATTTCTCTCAATTACTTTTAGAAAAGGTTTTGGGTTCATGCGCACAACTGGCTCATTTTTTAAATAGTCTGCGCCGAAGACTTATAAAAGACTGTGTGGAGGCTTTCTGATGTAGGAAGTACATACCTGCCAAGTTTCAATCGTTTCGAGGATGATTTTTCCCTGTGGTAGTAAAATGGAATTTTAATTGCAATTTTAGGCAGAAACAGTACACTGTATTTTGAAAGAGATTGTGCGAACACAACGATAGTACTACATATTTATATATTCTTAATTTTTTTAAAAATAGTGGTAGTCAAAAAGATTATGTATTAAGTTTATAAATGCGCGGAATATATAGAAAGCATACATTTTACTACCATTTTAAGTATAGAAATGAAATTTTACGCCAAATGCGTAATGGTTGGCAGGTATGAAGGTAATGCTCAAACTCATAATACTCAACTACTGAGGATATTTACGTCAGCACTGTAGTCTGTGCGAGCCGGATGTGGAATTCCAATCGACCAGCCCTCGCTGGGATTCGAACCCGGTTCACCTCATTGGAAGGCGAGCGATCTATCCCTTAAGCCACCACGGATCTATATACATACATTTATACTCTTTTCTCCCTTGAATATAACAGCTAGAACTAACAGCAAATGACTTGAACGTATCACATTATTAACTGAAAGATATTATTGCCTTCGTCCTATTACTTTCTCGGACACCTAATAATCCCTTGAGCGAATTAAGAGAAAACCTGGTTCGTAGCATAATATTGAAGTGAGATTTAACTGTACCCTGTAACGAGAAGCTGGTGTCATATCTAAAATCCACAACGTAAAAATATCAAAGATCCGTTCAAAAATATTAAGTAACGGAAAAAAAAAGATTGGCGGGCTGAATCTGTACAGACATGTGCCTAGGTGACAATTTTCTTTAAAAAGGATAAAAGAAAACTTACCTGCGTTATAGCTATGAGCTATTTGAAAGAAAAATTTATTTTCATTATTTTATAATTATGATTTTTATAATTTTATTAGTAAATAAAAAGACAGATATAATTCTAAAGAAATATTAATTAAAAAAAAAGGTGTTATTTGTCAAATTATCATTATTAGCACGTTGAGAGTCGTGTCAGCCATGGGTGGCTGACACTGAAATTACATTTAAGCCGCGACAACCACAGGTGGCTGTCACTGAAATTACATTTAAGCCGCGACAACCACCGGTGGCTGTCACTGAAATTACATTTAGGCAGCGCCAACCACCGGTGGCTGACACTGAAATTACATTTAAGCCGCGACAACCACCGGTGGCTGTCACTGTAATTACATTTAAGCCGCGACAACCACCGGTGACTGTCACTGAAATTACATTTAAGCCACGACAACCACCGGTGGCTGTCACTGAAATTACATTTAAGCCGCGACAACCACCGGTGGCTGATACTGACCTTTCACATAGGCGGCGAAAAACAGCTGGCTGACAGCGTATACCATGATATAGAACTACAAAATTTACACTCTTTTATGTAATTGCACAAAATTTATTCAAAATTTACTTAATTAATGTGGTTCTTGGTTTAATAAATTCAATTTACTAGGTTTTTATCCACCACTATTTCAAAACAATTCGTAGGCTTATATAATTCACCACTTTTTTCAGTTGCGTCATCGTCGGCGCCCCTAAATGCATTAGCAATAATAGTATAAAAAGGGATCTTAAAATTGATGACATCAACGTCTATATAAAAAATTTAAACCAAAATTTCTACGATGAAGCAAAAACCTGTACCACCAGCAATTTTAACTCACTCCTAGATATTGAATTAATTGACGACAACACTAAATTTAGCCCAATCACTGCCTTTTTCCTTAGGGATATGACGTAGCCCTAACACACGAAATACACTCTCGATTTTTGGTGCTAAGCACCACCTCTTCCCCCCATCTCCATTCCACCTCACTACTCCTCATCATCGAATTACTACTACAGATGAATCGGTTAATGCCGCTTCGCGGCAGCGCACCGAGATTTATATGATTTCTACCATTTCAGTTGCGTCATGCTAAACCTTTGAAAAACTAGCAAAATCTGTCTAATATTTGCAAATTTAGTTTATAGTTATAAATCTAAAAGTCCAATTTAAAAGTTATAGGACATTACTGTTGTGTCACAACTCGAAGTACCCCAAGATTCCTCCTACCCACAAAAAATTAAATAGGAATATTATGACCATAAAAAGAAATATATTTAAAATTTGAATTTTCGAGATTTGTACGACTGATATCGTACAAATTTTTTATATAAATAAGCATCCTTTAACCCTTTCGCGCCGACTGTCACAAATACGTGACAGCAAAAAACCGTATCAATCAGATTAAGAAGATAAAACTGGTAATCTAAGTATTTCTTTAGCAGTTTATTTGTAGGCGGAGTTATAATTTTTTGATTTATTTAATTCACCATTACTTTGTTCAAAATAAAACTATTTAGTTATACTTTGAATTAACATTGATTATATATATGATTAAACTAACAATAATTAAAATAAAAGCAAAGTAAGTCTGTCAAATTAGTAACGACTACATTTAAGTTACCGTTTTTTATTTAATTGCAACTTGATTCTGATTTTGTACGAATGCTTTTCTGAATCACCCGTCCCCAAGGGGTTAAAATGATTAAAGGAAACATTATATGCCTTACATTTAAAAATTCTATGAACCAAAATTAAATCAAATGTTAAAAATTATTATAAAACTACTTTTGCTTTGAATTGTCTATGGATAAAAGAATTTTATATGTGTGCGTAAAACTTTTTTCAATTCGCTTGAAAAGATCTCGAGATGTAGCGATGAACGCAAAAAATAAATGTCACATTAAGGGGTCCAAACTTTTCACCGCTCTCCTGAATAAACTATTAGAATCATACATTGGTACAAGAAAATAAGAGAATTTGCAAAATTGGTCGATTATCTCTAGAATTATAGGATCGATTTCAATGAAATTTGATGTATGTGTTACCGGCAAAGTATGAAATCCGGCATTGTATAGAATGACTAGGCATTGTATAGAATGCCTAAAATTTGCCGGCAAAGTATGAAATGATTTATATTTCACACATTGCCTAGGCATTCTATAGAATGCCAAATGAGAAACCGGGANGGCAGTGGCACTTAACTAGATCTAGTATATATTTCGGACATTTACCAAAGGCCTAGTCATACTAGGTATAGTTAAGTGCCATTGCCCGGTATACATTTGCCCGGTTTACCCTACACTGATGTTTTCTTAAGGTCAAGTGCCACTGCCCGGTATACATTTGCCTGGTATACCCTACACTGATATTTTTTTAAGGTCATGTGCCACTGCCCGGTATGCATTTGCCCGGTATATCCTACACTGATGTTTTTTTAAGGTTCAGTGCCACTGCCCGGTATACATTTGCCCGGTATACCCTACACTGATGTTTTTTTAAGATCAAGTGCCATTGCCCGGTTATATTTGCCCGATCCTCCAAACACTGATGTTTCTTCTAATCTACTGTTAGTAAATATTAAAATATCGAATAAATGTAATTATATCCACGAATAATATGAAATCGGATTATTTATTATTATCGTACTTTTAATATGAAATCGGATGTAATAAATATTTCGGACATTCACCAAAGCGACTATGAGATTGTCAACATTCACCGGTGACAGTCAACAATCACCGATTTCGCTCATTCACAGTAACATGCACATCATTTACATAATAACCTACATAATAACCTTATTTCATACTTTGCCTAAATAGCATCGGGCATTGTATAGAATGCATAGGCATTCTATACAATGCCTAGGAAAAGTATGTAATATTTCTCACATTTCATACTTTGCCTAAAAACGTCAGGCATTCTTTACAATGCCTAGTCATTCTATACAATACCGGCGTTTCATACTTTGCCGGTAACATATACATTTACAAGCAAAACAAATAACCATTCAACAATTGTAATAGACACGAATGATCGTACGTAACACTCGTTGAAATCGGAAGCATGAAAAAACGGTCACAGAATAAATTAAACAAAAACAATGGGTTAAAAGGTGGTAAGGTCCCCTCCTACAGATATACAAACCTTGCAGCGAGATTTCATACTTGAAATATGACTGTTTATCATTTGCTGTGGCAATTAGTCCCACTCTTTCAGCAAAACTGTTTTCTTCCAATGTATGGTTCTCGGTGGGGGTAGAGAGTTGCGATTGCTCTCCCCAGAGCGTACCAGACAGTCTTAATAGGATTGAGGTCTGGAGATCAAGCTGGCCAATCCTACTGGCGAATGTTCTCACTCTTTAGAGATTCACGAACCAGAAGAGCTCAATGTGACCTCATGTTATCCTCCATTAAAATGAACTCAGGACCAACTGCACGCCGGAAAAAGAGAAAATAGGGCTCCAAGACCTCATCTGTACACCTCACACCAGTCACAGAGGCTCTTTCAAAGACATGCAGAGGTGTGCGCCCATCCCACATGATGCCTGCCCAGACCATAAAACCTGATCTGCCACAATGGTAGATTTCACGGATCTCTGCTTCTATCCATATAAACTTACGACAAGAATCGGAGTTTAGGCTGAACCAGGACTCATGAGTGAAGAAAACGGTCACCCATTGATCCATACTCCGTACTCTATGCTCTCTGCATCATGCTGAACGGACCCTACTCTTCGTAGAAGTGAGCGGGACACAAACAACAGGTCTTCTTGAAAACAACCCTCTTTCATGAAGTCATTTGGAAACAGTCACCCTTGATACACGGACTCCTGTGGCTGCATGCATGTCACGAGAGAGCTGAGAAGCTGTAGCTCCTCTGTTTACACCTTGCCATAATGGACAAATGGCGAACTTCTCTGGCCCTCGTGGCTCTGGGATGACCTTGCAAAGGTTTCCCAAGATACCGGTCCCTGGATCCGGTATCTTGGAACTTTTTCCATAAATTACACATGGCGCTGGGCGTTAAATTGAACTCGCTACAAATCCGGACCTGAGATTGGCCTGCTTGCTGCCTCCCAATAATTCGCCACTTCATTCCTAAACGTACTGTTACAATTTGAATTTAAACTATTGCTGCACAATAACATCTGGAATATCGCCGAGGTGTGCTATCGAACGAAATGCACGCTTAACTTACGCGCTCTTATAAAGCCTGTGACTCTACTGACTCTGCCTACAAGCACGTATACGTTTACGTATTTGATGTACAAGATTTGCATTTTGGTCTTCACTGTGGTTTTACATTCAGCTCAGTTCTTTTCCTGAAATTCGATAGAATACGCAAGTTCTCGTAATTTATTTCACCAGTGTATTTTCTAGACTCCTTATCTCATATTTTGAGCGTCAGAAATCAGAATCCGTCCTCAGAACCTCAATGAATAATCCTTTACACATGAATAGTCCTTTAGACATGAGAAATCCTTTACTTCATTTGCATTCCACAACCTCATCGAAGCGCCACACAGATCACGCTCAAGATGAATGGGAAAAGGGCCGCAAGCGGCCTCAGGTGCCCGGATATTTTGTACAGTTCAGTTCAGAATCCATCCTTGAAATAAATGTTCATTTCGAGAAAGTACGCTTATGTGACTGATTTGTCACTTAAAATATAATCAGTACCACTTGAAGCATTACGAATGAGTCATAGTTTGGGAAAGTCCGATGATTGGACTAAAAGTTTTCCAGGGAATTAAAATTTTTGTTATACTCATTACCTTGGACCTAATTCAAATTTTCATTTTATATACGAAAAGTAATAATGCAAATAATTTGACGATTTTATAGGAATTATCTTATGTGTTTGTATAATGCATTTATCACATATTTCCAAATATAATTTCACTGATCTCATTCAAATTGTGAAATTTGTCATTCAATTGTAAAATGATTTAGTTTATAATAATAGCGGGTTCAATCCCCGGATTTTCGGAATGCAGAATGATTATGCTGCATGTAAAATATCCCTGGAGTGCCTTATTGGCTCTTGGCATTTCCGGCAAAATTAAACTCCTAGTGCACTTTAGCATCCAAATAGAGTCTCAGTGCTGCCATCTAGTGTGGCAGAGACTAGACGTCCAAATTAACATGGCCAACGGTATCTCACTCATTGTGGTGGTCCTGAAAGAGTGGACACGACTTTTGGAGAACGCACTAGGTCTGCTCATCGAGAAGACTGATTGGGCAGCTCATAGGAGAAAAAAAAGTTAATAATAATAAAAAAAAATTCTACAAATTTTCGTCATTTAATAAATAAATTTAATTAAAAAAATTATAATTCTTTTTTCCTTTTAATCGATTTCAGATAAAAAAAAGAGTTTCAAAATACAGAATGTGTATAACTGATTTTGTTAAGATTTTTTTTTATTTAAAAACACGCAATTTTAAGTTTTGTTGATATTTTTTTACCTTAAAGTACATAACTTTTTCAATCATAATAAAAATAAATGATGAAAAACTAGAAAATATTTTCAGACAATTATTTTTCTATACTAAGTTTAATTTGGATATAATCTTTATTACAAGCTCTGAAAATTTTGAGCATTTTCTTATTTCTGATTTATATAAATTTTTCCATAAGTGTGAAGAAATAAGCAAAAAGTGATTAAGTAAATTGTAATTCAGTATAACTTTTCTTATTTGAACTATTTAGACGATATATAACAGATTGCACTCTTTTTCCAACGCAGGAGAAAAAAAAATATGATTCAGTCCCGTATTATAATGTATGTTTACTGAAAACGTACGTAATAATTGATTTAAAATTTCATTTGTTTCATTAAATTGGTAAGATCTACTTCATAAAAAAGTTCAAATTGCATGTTAATGAAGGAAATTTCGTTAGTTGGATCTAGAGTTACTCCGTTTATTATTTTTTTTCATGTAAAAATTATAAATAATATTTTTACACACAATAGAACACAATCAGGAACACACAATCAGGATATTGGTAAAAAGAGAAATTTAGTCTTACCACATCGAACACTTTCTGGATAAAGAAAAAAAAATTAAATGTAAATTCAGTATTTTCTATAAACAAAATATAAATGTAATTATTTGGATTCGGAAAAAAGCTGATTGCATTTAAAATTCGTATATTTCTACAATACTCTAATAGTCTCAGCAAATCTATTATACTATTGTCCTAACTTTTTCCTTTACTCCCCAAGTTTTTTCTTACCTCTAACCCTCCAAATCAATAATGCTCTTTAACACTAGGTTTACGGACGTTTTTTATATACCTATCTCTACGAAAACGCGTCAATTTGACGCATGAACAAATGCATCACTAGGTTTTACGGACGTTTCTTATATACCTATCTCTATCACACATATGAATATCACTCCGACGAAAAATATTGCATCAACTGCTGGCACATCAATACCTTTTTTGGAACCAGCCATAATCCTTATCATCAAGCCTCAGACATCACTTGCCCTGCGCATCGCCAGGCCCTCCTTGAATTACGATCACGTTCTAATGAGTATTAACTGTTACCACCTTCTAGCTATAACTTCTCAGTTTCTTCTCAATCTATTCACATATGTTTGTTGAATATACCTATCGCTACAGAAACTCTATAAACATTTTTCCTCATTGCAGACTTTTTGTAGATGACTCTTATTTTAATTTTTATTTTTCTTATTTCATATTTCCTTTCAAAATTCTTGCTATACAGCCTCCTTGAGAGCCTTACACTTTCGACAGCTGTCAAAATAATCTTCTTATGTTTTCCAGTTACTTATCTACCATGTAATTTCACTATTATTAAGTTAAAATTAATTTCTATGCTTTTTGTTGAAGGCATTTCACTATGCCTTTGTATTTTATAGTGTAAATATTTTCAAAATTTAATTTATTCTTTATATGTCATTTATACTAGTTGCTAATGTAATTTTTTGTGTTTTATGTATGTTTTGTGTCAGTAGAATGTTTGTCCTACTCTCGTGTGCCCTGAATAGGGCGGGTCGAGGTATAAATAAACAATATACCTATCTCTACGAACACTCGTCAATTAGACGCATGAAAGAATACATATAATTGTGATTCTAAATTTAGTAAATTCAATTAAGTTAATTTTTATCCACCACTATTTCTAAATAATTCGTAGGCTTATATAATTCACCACTTTATATTTGCAAAATTTACTCAGTAGTAAGTTACCGTTTTTTATAATTATTTTGGCGTGTCCGGAGCAGGTCGCATCTCCGCACTTAGAAACCAATGTAATTATATACCATAAAAAAATGAAAATATGAGATATATATTTATGAAATATTCTAGTATTTCATTTTTCAATACTCGAGCTAAGCAACTGAAACCTTCAAAATCTGACATCAATCGACATTCTGCGTTTGTTCTTTCGATTATTACTTATCGGCAATAGTTGTTTACCGCTTGTTTCATTTGAGATAACTACATTTTATCCATTATATATGAATGAGGCTATGCCATTAAATATTACAATTATTATGCATTAAATACTATATTAAATCCGTTACTATATTAAATCCATAATTAAATTAATTTTTAGGTATCTTCTGCTATGATAGGGATTTTTATTTTCTTTACTATTCCAGATTAATTGCGAATAACTAAAAGTTAATTTTTTTTTATTAAATAATAGAGTTATGGATGAGTTATATTATTAAAGTTTGTTAAGCAGATATTTTACATTTTGTAATAAATTTTGATGGTAAAAATGAATTTTAACCCAAGTCTTGAAAATTACCAATTAGAAGCGTTTTTATGGACCATTCCAGAGAGTAAGTAGAGGTTTCAAATCGAAATAATTGAGATGATTATGATTGATATAGATAATTTTCAACTGATCCGGTTTTAGTGAGAATTAATGAGCTTTCAAGATAAAGGTAAACTGAAAAGAAGGAAGTGTCTCTAACCTTTTAGAGATAGAACGAAACATTTGTCAATAACCATCAAGAAGATGTATGCAGAGTCTTATAACTCAGAATTATTAATTTTTTTTGCAGTTTCTTAAAATGCCTAAAAAAAACTATGCATTCTATTGATATTTTTGCGGTAGAACTTAATACTTAGTATCTTAAGTTCTTTGCTTTTTCACTTTCAATAACAATATTGGTAGTTGCACTTTTTTCCCAAACAATTATAGTGTGGGCACTATTACATTACTTAAATACCCACTGATTTTTAACGGGCAATTACCACCACCTCTAAAGCCATGGCCTCCTAATCCAGTAAGACTCCACATGGTTTTTATAACTTGTCAGATCAATCTCAGTTTATTTAAAAGGTGGATTAATTTTGCGGATGAACCAAAAAATATGTGAACGAAATGTATCTTACTTTAATATTCTTACATTTGATTTCATGAATGGTGCCCATGATACATTTTCTTGTTTCCAATAACTAAGGCAGAGCTTGATAGTAACCGTTGGCTCCGTAACGATTAACCCTTTCGCGCCGACTGTCACAAATACGTGACAGCATAAAACCGTATCAACCAGGGTAAAAAGATAAAACTGGTAATCAAAGTAATTCTTTAGCAGTTTATTTGTGGGCGGAGTTATACTTGTTTGATTTATTTTATTCACCATTTCTTTGTTCAAAATAAAACTATTTAGCTATATTTTGAATTAACATTGATTATATATATGATTAAACTAACAATAATTAAAGTAAAAGCAAAGTAAGTCCTTCAAATTAGAAACGACTACATTTAAGTTACCGTTTTTTATTTAATTGCATCCTGATTCTGATTTTGTACGAATGCTTTTCTGAATCACCCGTCCCCAAGGGGTTAAGTTACAAATCAAGTTCAGCCTTGCCATAACGAAGAAAACAGTTAACAAAAGAACGTTAAATGCTTACCGTTATGCCGTCAATTAAGCCATCTTTTAACTATAAATAGAAATTATGTAATAGAAATAAAATTAGGATACGAAGATAATAGTAAAAAATATTTGTATAAAGTAAAAATATTTTTTTACTGTATTAACACGTTGCCGCGTACTCTTAATTTAATAATCTGCTCAGAAACGCATCTTTTTTCAATTGTTTATCATTGCCATATGAAATTTAAAAGCAGTTGCATGTTTGGAAGTGAAAGTTACTGCTAATTATTACAGTTTTTCCATAAATACTCTGATCGTTATTTTTTCTCCTCCCCCCCCCCCCTAAAAAATT